AAATTCCAAAGCTACTCTATCTACTTTTATATCACCCAACATTACCATTAACATTCCGCTAATCCAACCCAACAGAGAACATTTGGTCGATGTGAGGGCCAACCCAACTGGTTTCAATTTTATTGTTCCGATGATCAAGTGATATAGCTAGAAAGCGGAATGGAATGCCAATCTTGTAGTCCACCAGCGACTTGCGGAGCTGGCATCAGAGTCAGACAATGAGGAGGTTGGGGAAGAACATGGGCCAGTCCTGGAGTCTGGGGAAGGCTCGGACGAGAGCTCTGGGTCGGAAGCAAAAAGGGAGCCATGGTCATCTGGGAGTTACATGCTGCCTCCCGAGCCTCCAGAGTCGGACATTAGCAGAACAGGAGAAGCCTGTTCCCAGTGCGCACATGCACAGAGCTGCCAGAAGGCAAGAACAGTTAAGACATAAGGGACAACTCGAGAGTAAGGCTTGGAGATGAATGGACCCTCCCATAAGACATAAAGGAGGAGCAAAGGCATGTGAGCCTTTGCAGGAAGCAACTTTGTTCATTCTGATTGGTTTAAAATCTGAAGCTCCATTTTGACTCTATGTTCTGTATGGCCTTGCAAAGCTAATTACCAATTAGGTCTTTGGCAGCATTTCAAGGGAGATAAAGGTCGGTGCTTATCAGCCTTATCCCGAAAGACTTTGGCAGACTTCTGTCAGACTCTTTACAAACTATTCGTGACTCATTACGGGCTGTGAATGAACATAATTCACAGCTGTTGAAATAAAAATAGTTTTTGGGGACTAAGTGTGTACTTTTTACTGTCTCAGAAAGCCTAGGTCAGGACAGCCAAGAGATTCAGAATATGGTGGTCATTCATATGCTTTCTTACCTGGCTATCTAAATAGGCATAAACCAGCTTGACCCTGCCATACTTGCTCACATCTTTGATGATTCCTCCATAGAATGGAGTAGCAATCAGGAACGCTTCTGAAATAAAAAGAATAAACTACTGCTACTGGCATTCCTTATATTACAGAGGATCAGTTCTATTATTATTCAAAAGATTTGATATATATGTCTATGGAGATTCTCAGTCATCCAAGTCATAGTTGACGTCTTCAGCTCTTGGATGAGAAGTGAAATGCCTTCAAAGAAAAAGGAGAAACTCCAGTTGCCTCTTGAAAAAGCACCTTTGGGACTTCAATCTATACGTTAATTTCAGGGTAAATTTTGATTTTGTAGTCTGAAGTTCTGGTGGTTTTAATGTCATTTCCACACCTCAAAGACTAAATATACATCCCTCAAAGGAATGGAAAGGGATTTTTTTTTAATTAAAAAAACTACTCAAGAATTCAGTCAATTTAACAACAGTGTTTAAAAGAGCTAAGACAGGGCAAGCAATTTTATTTTCATCTGGAAAAGTACAAGTGAGGTGCTTTTATTGGAAAAGTGTTGGAGATGATGGGAAGATAGTGACTGCTTAGTTTGCCCACCCCTGTGAGATGAAGTCCTACCCATCTTCCTGAGAAAAATTGTGTCAACTGTAACTCTCATCACTCTCTAGCACCATGGGCATTAGCTTATGGAACGCTATGCTAGGGCAATTCAAGCAGCAGCATAGGAGAAAAAGGACTAATAGAACAGCCTCAAACTTTTGGATTCCAGTGAAAAAGATAACGCAGATCATTCATCTCTTACAGTGTCAGCAGGGAGAAAAATAGGTCTATCCCAAAAATCTCTTCCTGAGAATGAAGTGAGCACTCAATGCAGAGTCCATGAAAATATACTGTACACCTTTCTCCTTTTGGATTTAACCTCCGCCCCACCACAAAAAATCCTCTTGTGATTTCCTAGCTCATCACTTCTAGAGAACATTTAAAGTAGAACAGAATTCAAACGGGGGGAAAAACCTGAATTGATGAAGACAAAAATAATTAAATTTTCTGAAGCTCTATACTCAGATTTATCTATTTAAAGATATATCTATTTAAAGATGGGAATTCTGTGGGGGTTTTTTTGTTGTTGTATTCTTGGATAAGTGCACATACTAGGTCAAATGTATGAATGTTGTACATATGAAATAAAGCCGAATTTACTAATAAAAAGAAAAGAACTGAGTTCCATTATATAATATATAGAGGTATGTCTACACAGATATTCTTTTTCCACAGAGTTCATCTTCTTTTGGCTCATAAATCGTTGGCAGTATACAAATACAGTAAATAAATATCCGTGTAGTTTGTGGTATCATCACATATAGCAGGGGTGTCAAACTCAAGGCCCGGGAGCCAGATCTTGCCCGCAGAGTGCTTAGATCTTGCCTGCGGGGATGGCCTGGAAACAGAGAAGGACCAGCTCGTGGTGCCTCTGCTAGCAAAAACAGAGCTCTGCCCACAGCCTCCTGAGCTCTGTTTTTTGCTGGCAGAGGGTTGCAGGAGGCCATTGCAGCCAAAAATGGAGGTTGGGAGCCTGGTTTCGCTGGCAGAGTGCTTGGGCCACCACAAGTGCACCCGACACGAATAACATAGAGCTGGACACACTCACCCTGGCCCGCTGAGGTCAAACACAACCCTGATGTGGCCCTCAAAGAAATCGAATTTGACTCCCCTGACATACAGTAACAGTGTTTAGGGAATAAACTGTCATAATCAAGCAGGTTAAAAAAAACCCTTTATCAACTACGGCAACTAATTAATCAAAAATCTTCTCCAGATCCACCCTGATGAATGTGAGTTATTTGGTACAGGCATTCTGTACTATGTTAGACACGGTATCCAGAAAAACCTAAGCAATTTCAATCCTCTTCTGCAAAAAAATCCTGCTTTGCTGCTATCTAACAAACCTGTGTTTTAAATTGCTCCAGCTCACTTACCTCCTGCATCACAGAGAACCATAGCCAAAGAAGAAAACAAAGATCCACAGCCATTCTGCAGAATCACCTTGAGAAAAAGATATTCAGACAGATATTATTTTCTGGAGAGACTATTCTTCCAATAACATTTCTAGCACCAGGGATTGTTCCTTCTCTCCTATAACCCATCTTATCCCAAAGCTGCTTTTTCAAAAGGCAACTGGACTTTGTTTTTCCTTGAGGATGTTTCACTTCTCATCCAAGAAGCTTCTTGACGTCAGAACTGAAAAAAGCTTCTTGGATGAGAAGCGAAACATCTTCAAGGAAAAACAAAGCCCAGTTGCCTTTTGAAAAAGCAGCTTTGGGACAACCATGATCTGGATGACTGAGACTCTCCATAGACCCTCTTATCCTGATTTATTTGATCTGGTTTCCTTAACCACTGGGCAGCAGGTATTCCACTGGATGCTGAGAATTGCACAGTGCCATCTTGATGTTACGTTGGTAGGTGGAGAGCAGTATAAATATGTTAAATGAACAAATAAATAAACTTGAAAGATAGTCCTTCTTTCCCGTAAAGCTTTTTACTACAAATTTGTGATTCACTTCAGAGTACATCAATGGATAGACAAAGGTGACTCTGTGGCACAACACAGGAGAATAAACCCATCTGGACAGGATTCAGGAGTCCATCTGCATCTGAAAGCCACTCTGCATTGCATTGCAGAGAGCATATTCCCCTCATTCTAAGCTAAGTTATCAAATGGACTGGTGTCCCCCAGTCTCACACGTAGGGAAGCAGTGGTCTTAAGAAAGGAAGCCACCTCCTGAGGTTCAGACTTCTGAGGCTACAGCAACTCCTTCTGTTTGTGTCTATGCTTTGTCAAAAAGCAACTGGATTTTCTTGGGGTTTCTCCCCCCCCCCCCCGGAAAACATTTCACTTCTCATCCAAAAACTTCTTCAGTTCTAACTGAACGGTGGGGAATGTAAATATTTACATTTTTGCAGTCATCTGGTCGTTAGTATTTTGATAGTTGGCCATTAGCTCTGAGAGTTGTTGAGGTCACTTGAGGATTTATCTGTATCCTCAGAGTCACCTCTGAATCAGAGTACAAATGGGACTGCTGAAAGGACTCTGTTGTAAACAGGAGATGGTGGTGTTGTAATCTTCCCTCTATTGAAACAGGGCTGTTCACTTTTAGCATAGGTGGCTTCTTTGACCTCTCTTTCAATCCATTCAGTCCTATCTGTCCAGAATGTGAACTTTGCTGTCTTCAAAAAAGTGACCTTTGTCTTTCAGATGCAGATGAACCCTGCTGAATCCTGTCCTGATGGGTTTCCTCTGATGTGCCATGTGTTTGTGAAGTGGTTGTTTTGTTTCCCCAATTATAGATCTACACATATCTCACTGCATTGCACTGCATATACCACATTGCTCAGTTTGTGTCTGGCTATTATATCCTTGGGATGAATGAGCTTCTGCCCTAATGTATTCTTGGGTTTAAAGCAGCGGTTCTCAACCTGTGGGTCGCGACCCCTTTTGGGGTCGAATGACCGTTTCACAGGGGCCGCTGAGACCAGCGCAACTCTAAACTTTAGACTCCACCTCGCGTTCCTTGAAATCCCCGTGGATGGGCTCCAGAATGGCTGCGCAGACCATCACCATGGCTCCATGCCGTAAAAAACATAGGTGCGCGCACTCCCCCCCATACAATTAGCCTCGGAGACTTCGTAATGGAGGGAAAGTGTTCCTGTGAGGGAGGAAGCGGCTTAGGTCCTGCTCCGGGCTGTAATTGTGCGGGGTGTGCGCGTGGCTATGTTTTCCACGCAGCTGCCTATATCGAAATCCACAACCAGATCTGTCATCAAGAATTGGCCGCATTCACACAATGAAAACCTGCTTGCTAAAAGTATCATAAACCATGCACAAAGGAAAAGAGCAAAAAAATGCAATGCAAGTAAGCAATTTAAAAAATGATACAAGTGGAATTATTATTAGAAATAAAATGTAACAGAGAAAATGATATGAATGAAAATATAAAGTTGGATTTCTTGAAATGCCACCCCGAGAACCCATCAGAGAAAGTAAATAAGCAAGGGCAACAATGGAAAGGAGGAAAGATGAGGAGGGAAAGGAAGAAAAGGTAAAGCAGAGGGAGTAAAGGAGGGGAATCAAGAGTAGGAGAGAGGGTAAGAGGGAGGAGAAGTGAGGAGGAGGGGAGGAAAGAGAGGGGAAGAAGAAGGCAGGAAGGAGGAGGAGGAGGAGGGAAAGGAAGAAAGGGTAAAAGCAGAGGAAGCAAAGGAGGGGAAGTAAGAGTAGGAGAGAGGTTAAGAAGGAGAAGAGAGGAGGAGGGAGGAAAGAGAGAGGAAGAAGGGGGAAGGAGAGGATGAAAGAAGAAGGCAGAGAAGGGAGGTAGAGAAGATAGAAGGAGCAAGGTTGTTGCAAAATAAAATGGGGTGGCAAGAAAGTGACCCAAACTGTATTCTATATATTTGTAAGAAAATAACGATAAATGATTAATGATAATGATATAATTAATGGTAATTATAAGAGTGTATATTTGTGAATGAACTTGAAAGAGAAAATAAAAAACTTTTTTAAAAAAAAATTAAAAATAAACAATGCACAATGTTTGCCCAATAAATTAAGGTTAAGCTTACCACCACCAAGGTTAAGAGCAGTCCTGCAAACAACCCCAAACCAGATTGAAGATCCATCCAGGCAGGGTAAGCAAGTTTGTGAATGCAGCTGCAGGCAACTTAGTTAAGGAGGCTGTGGGAATAAAGCCAATGTGTGTCTCTGTGTCTCTGTGTATATGTTTGTATAGCAGCCGAGATTGTCCAGCCTCCAGGATGTGATTCTTTTCAGACCCAAAATTTAGGAGCAGCAGACAAGATGTTGGCTGCCTCTATAAAAAAGATGTGGAGACTCT